ACTGGGGGCTCGCCTGACCCGCCCTGCCGCTGCCCTGCGCCCACGTCTCCGGCTCCTCTCATACTATCGCTGGGACATGGTTGTCTTAGCATCGGGCCTTGCACGGGGACACCTTCCCCCAACCCATCCTCAGATCCAAAGACACTGCACACTGGGATTGGAGTCCTGAGATTTCCAAACTAAGGCTCTCTTTGGGCTTTTCAGATTAGGCCTACAGAAACTGGGCCAGTCACACTTGAAACCCTTAGAAATGGACCTCTCCCACCCAGGCCCAAGGATCCTAAGACTCAAAAAAAAGTGTCTTCAGGGGACCAGCAGTTAGCGTAATGGCTATGTCGCTGGACTACCATGTAGTCGACTGCGGTTCAAGTCCCAGACCCGGTGGTTTAAACTCACGCCAGTCACGTGTGTGTGCGTGACCAAGATCCCGAGAGGAGAATGGGGGAGAAGGGATTGCAGCGTGGCCATCCCCCCTGGGGGTGATTTCTTGCTTTCTGTCTCTCGGTCTCTCTCTGTCTGGCGAGCACACACGCCCTATAGCAAAAAACTCTCAAAAAAAAGAAAGTGTCTTCAGGATGGACCCTCAGCCTGAGCCCTGTAGACCCAGACTCTGAAACAAGCCTTTCAGATTCAGTTTTTACAGGAGCCCTTGAACTTGGCTTCTCAGAAGTGAACCTAAGAGCTGGATCCTCAGAACTAGACTCCGCAGTTGGGGACCATGGACTCCAGAAATCTCAGACCCAAGCTCTAAGAACTGGGGATGCTATGACATCTCTGCCTTTTGGCTAAGATCAAACGCAGAACTAGGAATCCTAAAAACTGGTGCAGAGACCCTCTCTTCTCTTGGCCCCTACTGCAGCCCAGTCCACAGCTCTTTAGTTCTAAAACTTTCAACCAGACCTCTCAAACCTGGTCCTACTGTACCAACTCCTGGAACTTCATACCTAGAGCCAGAGAACCTTGTGATCAACTGAGCCTCAAATCTGCCCGGCATTTACCAGCTGTGTGATGTTGAGTAAGTTACTCCACCTCTCTGAGCCTCAGCTCACCCATTAGCAAAATGGAGAGGATACTATCTATTATATAAGCGAAGGTTAATATGAGGGATGTAGTAGGACAGCAGGGACTTGGCACATAATAAAAACTAATAGTTTACTCCATCTCAGGTCACAGAGCATTTCTAACTAAATTTTTTCTTCACTAAATTTTAAAAAAATAATTAACTTTATTTATGGTTATTATTTATTTTGCTATAGGCACGTGTGCTCACCAGAGAGAGACAGACAGAGAGAAAGAAAGTGAGAAAGCAAGCCACCAGGTCCAGGACTCAAACCACAGTCGACCACGTGGTAGTCCAGTACCTTAACCACCATGCCACCTGCTGGCCCTCTCCAATTTTCACATTTCAGAGAAGAAAATTAATTTTCTTGGTAATACACCATCGCTGTGAAAATCTGACATCCCAGCAAAGGGCTAGATCATTATCTAAAAGGTATCCTCTCCAGAACTCAAGCTTATTGGGACTTTTGGGCCACCACAGGTAGCCAAGTGACTGTAACAGATTGGCTTCAAGGGCCAAGACCCAATAGAGGGAGATGTGAAAGAGGAATCATGCAATACCATGGCTCAGCCCTAAATAATCAGATCTCTCCCTGCATTCCATTTCTGTCCCAGTGTGTTTAAAAGCAGCAGTCTATTAAAGCAAAACCATATGTCATTTAGGGAGGGTTCAGTGTTGCACTTCCATTTCTTTGTTTTAAACAAATGCAAATGGGTTCTTTCATTGGCAGAATCACAGAAACCCAAATCCTGCTTTAATCATTACTCCTTTCAAGCTGTGGACTGGCCAAGCAGGGCTCTTCTCTCACACTGCTGATGGGAGCACAAATTGGCCCACCTCTCTGGAGGGCTCGCATTCATTCAACACTAATTTGCTAAATACCTGCCATGGTACGAGGAGCTGAGATTAACTGCACAGTAATGGCTTCGAAAACGCTCTCACCTTGTGACTGACAAAAGCAATGTGTGCACCTGTAAGAACCCACCATACTTAAAGGGAAAATACCAGAAGGAAACGTACTGACATATTAACGACGGGCCCTGAGAAAGAATCATGATGATTTCGTTCTTATGCTTTCTTGGTATGTTTCAAAATGTCTCTAATGAAAGTATTTTATTTGTATGATTGGAGGGGGAAAGGTAACGCTATACAACCAGGGTCTTGTGCTCTGATGAGCTGCGTGTTCCACAAGATAAATTTCTGAGAGTAAGAAGTCAGCGTCTCTGAATCCAGCCAGCTGGGGCTGTAATATTTGCCAATGTGTTAGTCAGAAACACCAACTTGCCCACAGTCCATACCTTATAAGCAATTTCACTTGCTCCAAGGAAGGGCATTTTGTATACTGTTTCTGAATTAGATCTTTTTTTTTCTCATTTAAGATTATGTGGTTGGAGGATGATACTCCCTCAGTGTTTTTGTCAAATGATGATAGTCATGTTTTTGAGAGTCACTGTGACTCGAGGACGTTCGATTTTGCAGGTTCTGTGGAAGACAAAACAGGAAATGAGCAGAGTCCTTTTCCTCTAGTACTTTTTTAGGAGGAGGAGGATGTTGGCAGGGACAGTGGCTCCGAGGCAGCCTGTACGGAGTGCTGGAACCGGGCACCAGGTACCACAGGAGGACAAGGGAGGAGAGTGATGACGGCTGGAGTGGGCTGAGGGGTGGTTTGTGGGAGAGCTGGACTTTGAGGATGGGTGAGACTTAGCTAGCAGGATATGGGGAAAGAACACTCATTCTTGGAGCAAACCCCTTGCTTGAACATGCACTAGATTCCAGACACTGCCAGGAACAGGGCAGTTAAAAATGAACGAGATAGGGGCCAGCAGATGGCACAATGTTTATATCGCTGGACTACCACAGGGTCAACTGCGATTCAAGTCCCAAACCTGGCAGCCTAAAACTCATGCCAAGCACATGTGTGTGCATGCATGCTCAAGACCCAGAGAGGAGAATGGAAGAAAAGGGACTGCAGTGTGACCATCCCCCCTGGGGGGTGATTTCTCACTTTCTGTCTCTCTGTCTGTCTGTCTCTCTGGTGAGTGCACATGCCCTTTCTGTCTCTCTGGGGGGGGCACATGCCCTAAAATTAAAAAAAAAAAAAAAAAAAAAAACCCTATAAAAAAAGATGAATGAGACAGATGTCACCTGCTGCCAAGCTGCTTAGCCACATAAACAACTAGGGACAATTCAGATGTGCAGTGTCAGGCTAGTGTGGAGACAATGCACAGTATGAGCTCTTGTTCTTCCTTTCTAAAGGAAGTCAGAGGGACCAGCAGATGGTGTAGTGGTTACATCACTGGACTCCTACATGGCTAGCCACAGTTCGAGTCCCGGACCCAGTGGCTTGAAAATCACTCCAGGCACGTGTGTTTGTATGCCGAAGATCCTAGGAGAATAATGGAGAAGAGATTGTGGCGTGATCACCCCGCTGGGGGTTGATTTCTCACTTTCTCTCTGTCTTTCTGTCTCTGGCGAGTGCACATGGCCTAAGGCAAAAAAGATGCTCGCACCATGTAGCAAATTTAAAAAAAAGGGAACTCAACAGAACCATATAGGACTAGAGAAGTTGGAATTTACTTATTTTTCTCTATAGAAAAGAAGAAACGAGAACTGAAAAGGAATCACAATTAAAGATCAGAGTTGTTGGGACCAGCACATGGCATAACGGTTACGTTGCTGGTTCAAGTCTTAGACCTAGCAGCTTAAAACTCACGTAGGCGGGAACCAGCAATTAGCGTAATGGCTATTTCGTTGGACTCCCACGTAGTCGACCATTGTTCGCGTCCCGGACCCGGTGGCTTAAAATTCACGCCGGGCGCGTGTGCGTGCATGCCCAAGATCCAGAGAGGAGAATGGAGGAGAAGGGATTGCGGTGTGACCATCCCCCCTGGGGGGTGATTTCTCGCGTTCTGTCTCTGTGTCTCTCTCTGTCTGTCTGGCGAGCGCATGTGCCCTATAGCGAAAACCTCCCCCCCCCAAAAAAAAGAACTGGGACCCACGCAGGCCTCATGTGTGTGTGTGTGTGTGTGTGTGCACGCGTGTGCGCACGCACACCCAAAACCCCAAGAGGAGACTGGAGGAAAAGGGATTGTGGCATGGCCATCCCCCCCAAGGGGTGATTTCTTGCTTTCTATCTCTCCAGTAAGCATGACTACCCTATACCAAAACTCTTTTTAACAAAATGAGAGTTGTAAATGTCATAAACTAACAACCCATCGAGTCTTCCTTACCAGGGAAAGAAAACTGAAAATGAGAAATCAGGTATGGGGTGGAATGAAGCCAGAAACAAACTCCCAAGCTAGCCTTTCCCTTTCTCTGGAAATTCTCCCGGGCAGCCCCTAGAAGAAATGCTATGGTGAGCTTAATTTTATTTTCCTGTACCCAAATCAGTGCCTTGTGAGTGATCCCCTGAAGATTTTGGACTTTACTGGATTCCAAGATCGACTGAGGTGCAGGCCCCAAGCCCCAGGACAGTCTGAGGATCCACTTGGCTTTGAAGTGGTTCAGGGTGGAGGGGGCAAGCCTTCCTTGTCAGAGCTGACCTACAGCAGACCAGCTGTGCACCCACAAGCTCAGGGTGGGTAAAGCTAACGAGGAATTAGGGGACCTCAGCTTTTGGCACACATACGAGTAGTCTGGGCCAGCAGGGAAAAAAACAACTAAAAGGGAATTTATATTCTCCTACGTTGCCAAGTGTTTAGATGGACCCCGGGTTGTTTATCTAACAACTTGACGTTTGGCCAGATTGACTAAAGATAATGAGTTTTAGCGAGGACGCTTCTAGGCCTGGCAACTGCTCTACAAAACCAAATAATAGAAGCTCATGAAAAACTCAGTGATTCCTCGGCAGTCTGGCCTACCAAGTTGAAATGATTTTTCTTTAAATATTCATGATCTGGATATAAAACAAGAAAATTCAACCCACAATTAATCATTCTTGTTTCCCTTAAGTGTTGATGTTTTCCATCACATCACGAGGGAATTCCGCCCAGGGTCTACAAGATCATTTGAACTGCTTTATGGCTAAGAGCCACCTTGGAAGTTAACAGTTCACAGGCCTGCTACCAATCGCATCGCACCTATGCAGTGGCGGCATTACTTCAGGGTTTCTTTTATTCTTTTAAGAAGTTTTTGCCTCTAGGGTATGCATACTCGCCAGAGAGGGAGACAGAGACGACGAGAGAGAGAGAAATCACCCCTAAGGGGGAATGGCAACCCTTCAATCCCTTCTAATCCATTCTCCTTCCGGGATCTTGGGCATGCATGCACACATGCCTGGCCTGAGTTTCAAGTCACCGAGTCCAGGACTTGAATCGCAGTCGGCCATATAGGAGGTCAGTGACGTAACCGCTACACCATCTGCTGACCTGACATGGTTTCTTCTAGCTGGTGACTTTGTCCCAACACCAAATTGCCCTGCAGATGCCAGGATCCAGGTCTCTGCTCTGTGTAACCCAGCACGAAGCCAAAGAGAACGAAAGGAGAGAAGCAGCTGGGACCCTCGAGACTCACGTGTGGCCTGGGAGCTACCTGGCAGTGTGCCCATTCCGCTCCGACAGAGCTAGTTAGTAAATCATGCCAACACAGGAGGCATTCGCGGTGGCACCGTTGCTCAGAGTGACAGGCATCCCTTGGTGGAAAAATGTTTTCATGTAAAAACTTAATAGACGTCACTCCCATTTTCTCTGGGAGTAAATTGGTCTCTCAGTCTTACTCTGGAAACAAAAAAAGACGAATTGCCCAGCACCAAACAAGTCTGTGGTTACCTAAAGGTGTAGACGTCATTTAATAGCAGTTTTCTCTGGGAGTAAATTGGTCTCTCAGTCTTACTCTGGAAACAAAAAAAGACGAATTGCCCAGCACCAAACAAGTCTGTGGTTACCTAAAGGTGGCGACGTGCCGTCAGCCATTTCAGTTCCTTCTAGATGAGTCCGCGAACCAGGCCCAGAAGACAAATGGTGGCTGTGGTCAGACGTCCCCCCCTGTTGCTACTCAAGATCTGCGGTTTGGAATAAGAAATGAGTGGCACTTCACCAAAATGGAGATGGGTCTAATAGAACATAAAAATCTGTTAAGCAATTTTTTAGGACATTAGGCTGTACGCGTTTAAGAGGGTAAGTCTTCCTGCAGCGGTCAAACATCACATAAAGCGCAGTCTTCTAATGTCCGTGTGGAAAGTGCTAGCACCACTTGGCCTGTTTTAGTCGTTCATCTCTCTTCCGTCTCTTGATTACCTGGAGAGGACTTTCTAATTTGAGGGTCACTCGAGCTCCCATTAGAAGAGTCATTCTTTTCAGCAGTTTGAAGAAGTCTCCAAAGAAGCAAGCCAAACAGCCAGGGCTTTTTTTTTTTTTTTTGTCTTTTTTTAGTTTTAGTCGTAGGGAACACACACTTGTGAGAGGTATAGAGGGAAGGTGAGAAACCACCCCACTCCCACCCCCACCCTCAGGGATGGCCATGCCGCAGTCTCTTTTCCTCCATTCTTTTGGGATTTGGGGCATGCACACACATGCACCCTTTGTATTTTCCAAGTTGCTGGGTCTGAGACTCAAATCACGCACTTGGCCAAGTGGGATCCAGTTGAATTATTTAATTTTATTTATCACTATTATTTTTAGTTTGCTACAGGGGTCATGTGCTCACCAGAGACAGACAGACAGTGAAAGGGAAAGTGAGAAAGCAAGTGATCAGGTCCGGGCCTTGAACCACGGTTGGCCATGTGAGTCCAGTGCCTTAACCACCGTACCATCTACCAACCCCTTCTTATAGCCAACTTGGACAAAGCATGAGTAGTCCAAGAATCTTGGCTCTGGGTGAAAATGACAAATCATTTACAAGGAAGTATTCAGAATATCTTGCCTCTTCCTTTGTCCTAACTTGTTATTAGTTTAGAGATCAAAGAATTTGACTCTTAGCAAGCGTTAAAAAAAAGTGGAAAAGGTCATATTGAGAAGTTACTAAAAGTTACACAGGATAAGGCAGCTGTCAGCAGAGAACATTCCTCCCTACCACACTCGGCCTACACATAAATTTTCTATCACTGAATGTCAGCTTAGAAAAAGGGCAGGTGGGGACCAGCAGTTAGCATAATGGCTATGTCGCTGGATTCCCATGTAGTCGATCTGGTTCGAGTCCCAGACCCGGTGGCTTAAACTCACGCCGGGCATGTGCATGTGCCAAGATCCCAAGAGAAGAATGGAGAAGAAGGGATTGTGGCATGGCCATCCCCCTTAAGGGTTGATTTCTCGCTTTGTGTCTCTCTGTCTCTGTCTGTCTGGCGAGTGCACGTGCCGTATAGCAAAAACCTCTCCAAAAAAAGAAAAAAAAAAGAAAAGAAAAAGGGCAGGCGACAGGCATGGGTAAAAGCCATTCACTAATAATATTTAGGCAAAGGCTACAACTGTAGCAGGGAGCAAGATCTAGAAACATTCTGCGTGTTAAAAAACTTCTATAGAATCATTTTAATTTCTCTGCTGCCACATACCACGAGGCTGTTACACTGTAGAAACTGGCAGCGTTCTGATAATAGGAACATTACAAGATCCGTGGGGTGATGGAAAGGGAAGGACTGGGAGCCAGCAGGCCCATGAGAATGCCGGCCCTCCTGTACATTAGCTGTACGACCCCTGGGCAGGTCCCACAGCGTCAGTTTTGTTATAAAATGGGACAGCATCAACATAACTTCACAAACCTGTTCCAAGGGTTAGGGTCAATGTAGGAAATGAGCTCCTCAGGCATTAAGAAATGGCAGCTGTGGGGCCAGCAGTTAGCGTAATGGCTATGTCGCTGGACTCCCGTGTAGTCGACCGTGGTTCGAGTCCTGGACCCGGTGGCTTAAATTCACGCCAGGCGCGTGTGCGTGCGTGCCCAAGATCCCAGGAGGAGAATGGAGGAGAAGGGACTGCGGTGTGGCCATCCCCCCTGGGGGGTGATTTCTTGCTTTCTGTCTCTCTGTCTGGCGAGCACACGTGCTCTATAGCAAAAACCTCTCAAAAAAATAAAAAAAGAAAGAAATGGCAGCTGTTTAGTATTCACAGTCTTATCACCTCCATTTATGGACTCACACTTTGATACTGCTGCTAAGCCCTAGGAAATTAGTTCTGCAGGAGTAAGCAGTCTTGGCCTGGAGCTCCCTATTCTGTTTTAACGCTATAACAAATTTGCAGCATGTCGAGAAATGCACCTGTTACGAAGTTTTCTTTAGGTGGATCTCAGCCTCCACAGGCTGTCCATTCTGAGTCTCATGAGAACAGAAACCTTGGTCTTCATATTGATTTGGGGTCTTTTCTTCTCACCTTTACAAGGTAGATAATGAGACAGCAAAGTTTTAAAAGACTCACTTTATAACATCGCTGCCTTCTGGTGACTAGAATAATTCTAGTATCCATTCAAGTGCTCTCCTCTTCACTTTTTTCTCTTTCTTTTTTTTTGTCCCTGGTGGTCTAGTGGTTAGGATTCGGTGCTCTCTCTCTCTCTCTCTCTTTTTTTTTTTTGGCCAGATAACAGATATGTTTATCAGAAAGACACAGAGAGGGAGAGGAGAAAGCACCCCTACAGGGCATGGCCAAGCCACAATCTCTTATTCCTCCTGCCTGCTGAGATGTTGGGCACACATGTGCACGCTCCCAGTGTTTCTCAAGCCACTGGGTCCGGGACTCGAACTGTGCACTTAGCCAAGTGGGATCAGCTGCCTTAAGCACTAGCCAGCCCTAACTGCTCCCCTTCCTGTTTAAAAAAAAAAAAAAATCATTAGATACAAAGAATCTATTACTTATTCACGAGCAAGAGGAAAAGTCCTTTTCTAGGAAATGTGATTAAGCCAACTAATTACACTTGATCATATCTTTTATTTATCTTTTTTAAGAGATTTTTGCTATAGGTCATGTGAGCTCACCGGAGACACAAAGTGAGAAATCACACCTCAGAAGGGATGGCCATGCTGCATTCTTCTCCTCCAATCTCCTCTAGGGATTTTGGGCACGTGCACACTTGTGCCCAGCATGAGTTTCAAGCCACTGGCTCTGGGACTGCAACCGCAGTTGGCCATGTGGGAGTCCAGTGACGTAACCGCTACACTATCTGCTGGTTCCCCCAATCATATTTTCTTAATCCAAACATCCAGCTGTGGTCAGAATGCAGGCGACCTACTTGTATGTTGCTACAGACTGTCCCAAGGTGTTGGCTGTGGGCTAGCAGGCAGCACAGACGTTAAGGTGCTGGACCCCAAATGGCCAACCCATACGGAGAGTTCCAGACTTGGCAGCTTGAAAATCACACCAAGTGTACATGCGTGCATGCCCCAAATCCTGAGAGACTGGAAAAGGGATTGCGGCATGGCCACCCCCTTTGGGGGGTGCTTTCTCACTTTCTCTCTGGTGAGTGTACTTGCCCTGTGGCAAAACACTGACTGTGTTGGGATGCCACTTAGTATTAACAGAGTAGGCACATTTAATCATCAACACCCCCAGTTCTTAAGAAACTAGCCTCTGTGGCCTTCATTATTTTTTTGATTTCTTATATATATTTTTTTAAGTTTTTGCAATAAGGCGCATGCACTCGCCAGAAAGACAGAGACAGACAGAGATGTAGAAAGCAAGAAATCACCCCCCAGGGGGGATGGCCACACCACAATCCCTTCTCCTCTCAGGATCTTGGGCATGCACGCACATGCACCCAGCGTGAGTCTGAGCTACCGGGTCTGGGATTCAAACCACGGTCGACTACATGAGAATCCAGCGACATAGCCATTTCACCAACTGCTAGTCCCGATTTCTTATAATTTCCTAAAATAAGAAGTATATATTATTTATATAATAGGAGGTAGAGTCATATTTTCTTTTTCTTTTAAAGAATTTTTTTTTTTTTTTTTCATTTGACCAGAGAGAGAGAGGGAAAGTGAGAAAGTAGCCACCAGGTTTGGGACTTGAACCTTGGTCAGCCATGTGAGAATCCAGCACCTTAACCACCATGTCACCTGCCAGCCCCAAACCCACATTTTTCAAGGGAGGAGAAAAATAAATAAATAAATAAAGACTCCCATGATCTATTCTAAATGTAGAACATTAACAGAGACTGGGTAACACCTTAAAAGGCTGATCGGTTATATGTTTAACTGACCCCGTCAGCTTTAAACTCAAAAAGCCCCCTACCCTGAGTCACAGAGGACTGGGCACCAGCAGCAGCTCTAGCTATAGGCCAGGCTCTGTGCTTAACTTCTAACATCTCCGACAGCGATCCCGCCTGGGACGTGTGACCACCATCCTATAGACCAGACCCGTAATTTACACCACTGAGTCTGCATGTGAAGCTCCTCTCCAGTTAACAGGGAAAGCTGTCTGAAAGGCAAATCCCAGAGGGCTACACAGGATGTCTTCTGGTGTAAAGAGTAACAAATTGTAACAAACTCTGACCAGAAACTGCTAAAGAACAGGAGCTAAGAATATGTACCAGTAAAGGGTAGGTATACAAGATGACCCAACCTTTGTTGCTGCTTTTAATAATTAAATGTAGATAGTTACAAATTCAGTGAGAAACTGATTCTACAGAGATACAGTTAAGTTTGTGCTCTCCAAATGCAAACCTAGGGCTAGCCCTGTAGTACAGTGGTTAAGGACTGTGAACAGGGAGTGGATCACATTTGGACCAACGCAGTTCAAATCCTGGCCTCAGAAGTTTGAAAAACACCGGGTATGTGTTCCCCAAATCCCGACAGGATGGAGAAATGGAGGAAAAGGACCGTGGTGTAACCATGCCCCACAGAGCAGTGCTCTCTCTTCCCTGATGAGTGCATGCATCCTACGATAATAAAAGATATAAAAACACAAATGCAAATTCAACCAGGTTTGAAATCCTAAAAGCAAAGCCTTTAAATAACCATCCCAACTTTTTTTTCAATTAAAAAACCTAGACAGATGGCGGAATCACGCATATATTCAAATCTATAGGACACGCAAGGCCAAAAACTGAAAAATCAGCCCTTGTGAACACCTCTGACTTGCTCGCTCCCTTCCCTAACGAGGGGCTTCTGGGCCCCTCAGGCATTCCTCAGTGAAGAACAAGTATCCCTTTCCTGGTGACCCCTGGTAATAGCACAGGTGTCTGAACGTGCATCTTTAGTCACATAGTCAGGATCTGGCAGCATCTGGAACCATAACTTTAACCCAGCCTTCCATAACAGTCTTTCTACTTTCTGGTACAGAACATGACACTGTGATATAAGCCATGAACCGCTTCAGCCTTTTCACTTCTGCAGAAGCTAAGACAACCTCTCCAATATACAGAGGGGCTGGAAAGTTAATTTCCTGGGAAAGAAATACACAACCTGGCCCTGGCATTTTAGTACCCAGGAGAGCTGAGATAAGTCCATTGATCAAAACTCCATGTACAATGGTCTTTCCAAACTTGGTGTGTTGTGCAAAATCTTCACTTATATGCAGAGGGTTGACATCCCCTGTTAATTCTGAGAAGGTCATCACGTCCCTGTGTGTGAACGCCCTGCTGAGTTCAGCCCGGTCTCCAACCCTGATGTGCACATGTCTGAAGTGCCGTCTGGTCAGCAGTGGGGGGCTCAGGAAGACGCTCCTCTGAAGACAACCCCGGCAAAGGCGATGGCTGGGAATCACTGGGAACATCTCGGCACCGTCAAATTTCATCAGCAGAGGCTTCGAGTTTGCTTTGGTTTTCAAACATTACACGGGTACCAGAAATACTGCTGAGAGTAGAAATCCTTCTGAAATAGAAGACTACTCAATCCAACGCTAGTTCCCTACTATTACCAGACAGTGCAAGGAGAAATGGAGAAACCTACAAAAGAAAAAAGAGGTTAAAGCGCTCAAGAGAAAACTGCACTGACACACGGGGCGATGTACAGACAGGACAAACAAGGCTGATGCGGCAGCATTTGGAAGAGCTGGAGGGGGGCCGCCAGCCACTCAGGAGTGCACAGATCCAGCACTCACTCGGCATTAGGTACTAAGCGAAAAGTTAAGTATCACAAGGCTCCAAGTTCTATCCTAAAACAATGCCCATATAAAAATCTAAGTGCAGAGCCAACACGCAGTGTAGTGGTTAAGGCACTGGACTCCCACACGGCCAATTGCGGTTTGAGTTCCAGACTCAGCGGCTTGAAAATCACACCAGGCACATGTGTGTGCATGCCCAAACTCCCAGGAGGAGAATGGACAAGAAGGGATTGCAGTGTGGCCATCCCCCACCTCGGAGGGGGTGTGTGGTTTCTAACTGTCCCTTTCACTGTCTGTTTCTCTCTGGTGAGCACACATGCCCTATGACAAAAATCTAAGTGCTCTAGCTCACATTTCAGAAGCAATCAAGTTCCAGATTATTTTTCCTCCTTGCTAGATGTTAACCACACTAAATTTATTCAAGCACAAGAATGAAATACATACAAGGAAATTTAAAAACTTTATGAGAAAATGGAATTAAGGCACAAGTTTATCTCAGTGCAAAAAAAAATGAAATCTATGCATAATTTTTTCAATAATACACATGTCCACAAACTCTCTGATTTTCATGAACTCTTTGAAGTTCCCTCATATACTAAAAAGCAATCGATCAATCACTCAGTGTTACCTGGAATATGTGAAAAAACAGCCTTTACCTGAATCACTCTGAAGGCACATTTCTTGCCTCTATAGGATCCCAACAGGGTCAAAGAACTCCACAATTTGACAAGACCACTGCAGAAAGATCAAGAAAATGTAAATAAAGATTTGTCTCCACAATCTCTCTCTAGTACTTTTCTTTGTGGTGGCCCAGAAAGTGGTTGCCTTTTTTTCATAAAATTTAACTAATTTTTAAAAAGCAAACAAACTTTAGAAATGAAAGTATAGTGCGTCTCAGGCAGAGAATAAAATGAACCTCAACTAAGAATGTCTCCAAAATACACATTTCTGACTTTGCAATCGCATCTGTAAACTGGGAAGCTAGTTACAACCCGTCACCAGTTTTGCTCTCTCTATAGAGTACAAGCTCCTGCTCAATCAACGTCCTACTCCTCCACCCCAGTTTCAAGTCCCAAAAGTTGCTTGGAGTTTACTACGACAAAACCCTTCTCCTTCTCAGAAGGGGGCAATTTTGTTCTTTTTCTCCATCAGTTCCCCTGCCCTGTTAGACCAGAAATGGTCACGATCTGTCCTACCTGCTACGTATTCTCAAGACGGCTGACAAGGTCTCCTCTTCATAGGTTAGGACGTCCAGGGGTAAGGCAGCACCGACCTGCATATGAAATGCCGCTATCAGCAGCCGTCGTCATCGCTGCTCTGCAACGCTAATAACTAATCCTCTTTCCGAGCTTTCCTCTTGCACCAACGGCATTTTATTTACCAGTGCTGGCACTCTAAGTTGCCTACTCCCCCACCTCAGGGTGTTCTTCCTACACCCCTTCTTATGGCTGACACCTCTTTACTCTGCAAGGGTTTGCTTAAGTTGTTCCTTCCTGAGCCAGGTGTTTGGTGTGGTGGTTGAGGCAGCTGGGTCCCACGTGGCCAACTGCGGTTCGAGTTCTAGGCTCAGCGGCTTGGAAAAACACTCCACGTGCCTGTGTGCACGTGCATGCATGCATATCTAAAATTCCAAGAGAAGAATGGAGGCAAGGGGACTGCAGTGTGGCCCTCCCTCCAGGGGGTCATTTCCCTCTCCCTCTATCCCTCCCTGACAAGCATACGTGCCCTACAGCAATGAAATGATAGACAGATAGTCAGACGGACCCTTCCCTGATCTCCTAGCTCAGGCTCAACTTGCTCCTGTGCTCTGTCCATATAAGACACTTCGTAATCCTCATCATTTTTGTCGCTAGTTGTTTAACTTGGAAATTATTTCTGAAGAATCCTGTCAACTTCCAAAACGCTGGTGACCGCGAGGACAAAGCTGCGCGAAGGGCTGGTCTCTGATAAGGTGAGCTGCTCAGGATGTAACTCCACAGCCCCGGCGCAGTGCTGAGCGCTGCTCACTTTTTCCCTAATAAGTGACTTGAACCTACCTACCAAAAATTAACCATTTCCAAAATTCTCCTCCTGTGGTTTCAAATACAGTTTTGCTTTAAAATAATGTTTGGTAAATGTTCTTTCTCTGTTTCTTATAAGGGTTGGAAGAATGTTCAATCTACTAAGCGATTCCATACCTCCCCAAACAGGTCCTTCAGGGCTGAGAGAAGCAGCTGTTTGAACTGTGGAGCGTTCAGTCCAACTCCATGATCTTGAAATTCTCTATTAAAAAATAAATAAATAAATAAAAAGAAACATAAAAAAATTCATGTTAGATTCTTTAAAAAAAAGACAATCTGAAGTAGGATTTGGGAGACTATAAACTTACAGGCAGACTTTCATGTAGTGGTGCTCAGAGGGATTTTTGTAAACTACTCGCTCGTATGAAGTAGCTGGGGCTGGCATCTTTTCCAATGCTGGTCATACCCTAGATAAGTAAATCAAAAGGACTAGAAATTACCAAGGGACAAGCTTTTTTCCCACATTTTTAATGAGAATCTGATCTATGTGATTTAGAGGATTTTTTTCTGTAAGTGAGACAAGAGACAGAGACAGTATCTCCAGTGGGGTCCTGACTCCACAACCCACTCCTAGGCTTTAGCCAGTCCCAGATCATGGGCACATGCTTGCCCAGCATCCTCAGGAAGATCCCGAGACACGAACCTGGAACCTTCTCATGTAAGTCACCCTCACAGAGGATTAGTTTTACTATTGTACCACCACCTGGTCTATTTGATTTTTTTTTTTATGGTTTGTGCCACAGGGTATGTGCACTTGCAGGAGAGAGACAGAGACACAGAGAGAGGGAAAGTGAGACATCACCTCCCAGGGGGGATGGCTCCACTGCAGTCCCTTCTCTTAGGATTTTGGGCATGCATGCACACGTCTGGCATTATTTTCAACCTGCTAGGTCCAAGACTGGAACTGTGGTCAGCCATGTGGAAATCCAGTGCCTTAACCACCATGCCACCTGCTGGTTCCCCACCATTTGAGTTTTAAAAGACCTCTTAGTACAGTAACTAATTGTGGTCTAAGGTTATCCATATAAATACAAAGGGTGTTTCTCTATTTTCTACATGCCAGCCCACTGCACTCTTAGGCAAACCCTAATAACATACAGTTGTCCCTTAGGATCTGGTGGGGTTTGATTCTAGGACCCCTGGGAGTACCAAAATGTGCAAATGCTGAAGTCCCTTATACAAAATGGCATAATATGTATTTACATATAATCTATGCACATTCTCCTGAACACCTAAACTCACCTCTAGATGGCTTAAAAGTAATCTTTTTAAAAAATTATTTAGTTTTATTTCTTCTTATTTTTAAAATTTTGCTATAGGGCATATGCATTCACCAGAGACAGAGACAGAAAATGCCGGCCACCAGGTCCAGGACTCAAACCACAGTCAACCACATGGGAGCCCAGTGCCTTAACCACCATGCCACCTGCTGGCCCTATAAGTAATTTTTGAGTCAGACATAACTAAAAAGGAAAATGTAAGAACTTCCTTGGCATCTCTCGTTTCCTCCAGTTCATCACCACTGGCACAGCCTGGATGCATCTGCTACGGCCGACTTGGCTGAACCTGTGGCTGCAGAACTCGCCAACCCGGAGGGCCCAGGTGACACCAGCTAACATTTTCCCCACGGTGCACCCAGCTCCGTCCTAAACACATGCCTTAGCTTGTCTTCAACATGAGCCTACGAGGTAAAAGTCATTATTCTGTCTCTTTCTGAGACTAAGACTCCAAGGCTTAGTAAAAGGTAGGTAACACCTGCCCAAGGGCATCCAGAGATCCCAGTCACTCCTGTGCCCCACAAGACGATTCTGGTGTGAAGCCTCTTCATCCATATAAAACGTAAAGGCCTAAGAGCAAAACCCGAGATCTGAAGGTCTCTTCTTGTTTACCCCAGTCACACAAAACATGGACAGAGAATGAGGGCGGGAGATCTGCTGTCACCTGCATCCTCGTCTGCCTGTCTCCCAGTCCAGAAGTCACCTCTGCAGAGGACTGCCTGACAGTCCAGAGAAAACTGAGTCTACGTACCAAGGGCTTGGAGAAGAGGAACTCCTGTCATTTCTAACAGCCCTGCAACTTTCAAGAAGTGAGAACACGCTGATCCCCCTGCAGAGAATTCCTCCTCGGCTCCATTTCCACCTCACTCTCCCTCTGGATAGCTCCTACTCACGCTTCAGGTTTTGGATGAAATGTCACCTCTCCAGGGAAGCCCTCTCTGACGCTCTGCTCTAAATTAAATTCCCTTGTCATGTGACCTCTTAACACTGTTTATTTAACGTCTAGATCCTCTGCTTTAAGGGACCAGGAACTGAGGTCCAACCTGTTCAAAGTCACATAGCTATAGACCAGTATTTCCAAAACCTCCGTAGGTCTGGTCCACTTCCAGTCACTCCCAGATGATGACCTCCAGAGAAAAGGAAAATTTGGGACCAAAAAGATCTATCCACCCATCCATTCGAATAGCATTAACACTGGGGCCGACGGGTAGCATGGTGGTTAAGATGCTGGACTCCCTCACGGCCAAGTGCAATTCGAGTCCTGGACCTACTTGGTGGCTTGCTTTCTCACTTTCCCTTTCTCTCTCTCTCTGATCAAATTAAAAAATAGTAACAAAAGGAATTAATTCTTTAAAATAAACAAATGAACAAAAAGCATTAATACTCTTGGAGTCTGGCACAGAGTTGGTGTTCAGCAGTCTTGCTCGCCCCATGACTGAGAAATGGTGGCAGTGGCGGTGGCGTTCACGAGTCTCTCTGCTTTCAGGATGGCAGCAGCAGTCACCTGTGCTTCTTCCCTAGCGCCTCTCCTGACCAGAAGGGCAGGGAGAACAGGAACCTCGTCGAGTTCCCTTGTCACCTGGCGCAGGACAGTTATTTTCCTAGCGGCACTGACTGCCTTGACGGAGCCCGCTGCCTGGCACAGGGGAATGAGACTAGGTCTGAGTGGGGCGTAGAATGCCAATCAAAACGAAGCCCTCCAGCGCACTCTACAGGTAAAACAGTGGAGACCGTTGTACAACGTGTACGTATTTACTGCCACTTAACTATACAGTTAAAGTGAGGCCAGTAGCTGGAGTGGTGGTGAAGGTGCTGAACTCCCACACGGCCAACAGCGGTTTGAGACCCAAACCTGGAGGCTTGCTTTCTCACTTTTCCATTCTCTTTGTTCGAATTTAAAAAATAATAATAACAAGTAGAATTAAATAAATGATTCTTTTTAAAAAATGGTTAAAGTGATAGGTTTTGTAACCAAAATTTTACAATTTAAAAAAGAAAAAAGAATCAAAGAGCAAATGTTTACTGGGTGGTCACTTTTCCAGACCCCTGAGGCCTCAAAAAAGAGGCCGCAGCAGGAAATGACAGCACTGCCCTCTGCAGGTGGTCCTGAGATGAAAGGAACGATGCCCGGGAGACCCTCCATGCAGCGGCCTCATTCACCAGGCTCACCGCACACTTAGGCGCGCCTGTGGGCACCACCGCTATGGTCAAAGTCAGCCCATTAGGGGCTGCAGAATGCTCACAATGGATCATGCATCTGTAACATGCAACACGTATCTGGAACATGTATCTGGGCACCCACCTCTACTCCTCTCCTGTCTGTTCTCTGCAGCAGCCAGTGAGCAGATTACATCTACTCGAGGCCCAGCCGGGCTGGCTGAGGGTAAGGTGCTGCCAGCCCAGAGAGGCTCAGGTTCAGATTCTGGACCACGCTGAGCAGGCCAGGTGTGGGCACATGCCAGTGATACTGGCTAACTGAGAGGCTGGGCAGAGGCTTGCCAACAGGAGACACTGTCCAAAATGCCTGACCTCTCCCTCAATAAATCTACCTACTCAAGGTACAGCATTCCTCGCTCAAAACCTTGAACGCTCCCCATTTTATCCAGAGACTAAGGCTGCAGTCTTTACAGTCTTTGCAAGGCCAAAGACTTTAAAACCAACGTCTCCGCAAGGCCCTATCTAACCTGCACTGCTGTTGCCCACACCCGGCCGAGGGGACTGGGGTCCTGTCATTCTCGCCGCTTACTCCCCTCCACCACACATGCCACCCAGCTCTTTCTCGCACCAGTCTCGCCGCCTCTGGGGCTTCAGATCTAGTTTTCCGCAAGCTGGAAAAGCTTTCCCTCCAGAGAGCCACAAGGCTCAGTCTCTCGCCTCCTTTCGGGCTTTGCACAAATCTCACTCCATTTGGCCCACTGTCCATCCTATCGACCACCTACCCCCATGACCCTGTCCCTGCTCATTTTTTCCCACGGCACTTGGCACCTTGTAACATAATTATTCACACACAACTCGCAGATTCTTGACCTGTACTGCCCTCTCACGTCCCTGGAGAAGATCCACTCCACGAGACACGGCGGCCTTTCGGGCTTGTTCCCGGCCGTTTCCCGAAGATCTACAACCACGCATCGCACACAGTAGGTGGTCAGCATATAACTTCTGAACTAAGTAACTTAAAAAGCTCAACGACCTACTGTGGACACTCGGGTCTTTTCCAACTTTTTTCGACTAACGACCGCCATTGGCTGAGGGCCCACCTGGCGCCTGCAGTGCGCTCAGCACATGGGTCCCGTTCGGTCCTCACAGCCATCCCCTGCGACCGAAACCACACACGGTGTCGCAAAGAAGCCGGTGGAAGTCCGTGGCCCTGTCCCTACGGGTCCTTGTCGCAGGTGGCAGTACCTTCGGCCGCACGGAGCCGCGAGGCCCGTCACGGCCCTT